ACAATACCATCGTCCACAATGGGTTTAAATAGAGTCTCTGTGGCGCAGCTAAGTGACACCAAGCTCATATGTCTCGCTAAATTAACCACACGTAGATAGTCACACAAGTACCCAGTTCAACTAGTCCTGCTTGAGACACTTCCCTCTCTCTCTCTCTCTCTCTCTCTCTCTCTCTCTCTCTCTCTCAAGTGAATAATTACTGATACACCACCACATTGTTGCCTCTCCTCTGCACCCACACCCTACCACACCTCTCAGCCACAACACACGCACAGGTTCGTGATAGAAGGCTTTACGTGACATACATATATATACGTCTGTGACGGGTGCTGGTGTTACGTGACGCACGCACGCACGCACGCACACACATAGTTCCTCCACCACAGACTCAATCTCTCCACCACAGTCTTACTCCCTCCACCACCACAAACGCGCCACCTGATCAACAACCCATCAGGTGCTTACTAATAGTTGTCCCCCGCGGCGTCCACCTGAGCTCTCGTGTACTGTGTCTCTCCAGGTGTGAGGTTACCTGCCTGTCCCCTCACGTGTATGTATGAATGTATGTATGTATGTATGTATGTATGTATGTATATCAATATCACTACAGTAGTTCCTGTCATAAAGACCCTAAAGAAACCAAACTTAACCCAACCTAACCTAACCCAACCTAACCTAACCCAACCTAACCTAACCCAACCCAACCTAACCCAACCTAACCTAACTCAACCTAACCTAACCCAACCTAACTTGCACAAACCATCCCTAAACACGTTCAATTAAAGCAAGAGTAGTTTAATAGTACACCCATTACTAACCTATGACTTAAATGAATAAGTCTAATTACAGGTAAATGACATAATTACATTTGCACATAATTACTAAATCAATTAAGGTTGGACTATTATAATTACTGGAATTATTGAATTTAATGGTGTTTTAAGTAGACAGGGTGAGTTAATGGTCCATATAGTCCAATATTTTGGTCTAGGGTTCGTTCTAATGGGTCTACCGTTAAAATGGGTCTACCGTTAAAATGGGTCTTCCGTTCTAATGGGTCTCCGTTCTATTGGGTCTTCGTTCTAATGGGTCTTCGGTCTAATGGGTCTACCGTTCTAATGGGTCTACCGCTCTAATGGGTCTCCGTTCTATTGGGTCTTCGTTCTAATGGGTCTTCGTTCTAATGGGTCTTCGGTCTAATGGGTCTACCGTTCTAATGGGTCTACGTTCTATTGGGTCTTCGGTCTAATGGGTCTTCGGTCTAATGGGTCTTCGGTCTAATGGGTCTTCAAGTCTAATGGGTCTTCGGTTAATGGGTCTTCAGTCTAATGGGTCTTCGGTCTAATGGGTCTACCGTTCTAATGGGTCTACCGCTCTAATGGGTCTCCGTTCTATTGGGTCTTCGTTCTAATGGGTCTTCGTTCTAATGGGTCTTCGGTCTAATGGGTCTACCGTTCTAATGGGTCTACGTTCTATTGGGTCTTCTTTATAATTGGTTAAGTTATGCTAAGGGCTATTTGAACTTGGGTCTGTTAAGTTTCGGGCCTACACAAACCTGGATCTGTTAAGGTTGGACCTAACTTGAACTGGGGTTAAACGGGGCCTGCTCGAAATGGGGTCTACTTAAGCTGGGGTCCATTTTATTCCGTCGAACTGATAAACACACTAGCAATAGTTATCAAAATCTGACGTGATTAAGACACAGTTTCACACCTGTAAAAATAGTGATCAAAACAAGAGCCTTTAACACCTGTGGGATGTAAAACACTAAGCCTGACGTAACCTAACCTAACCAACTCTAACTAAATCTAACCAAACTATAACAAACTTATTTAAACTTAACCTAAAACCAATTTATATCCTAACCTAACCTAACCAACTCTAACTAAATCTAACCAAACTATAACAAACTTATTTAAACTTAACCTAAAACCAATTTATATCCTAACCTAATCTAACCAAACCTATTACTATTTGTTTAGGCCATCCTGCTGATAAATCCCGGACGTACGGACGGATGCACGGACATACACAAGGACGGGGCGTGATTGTATGATATTAAACCGTGACCTGATGAGGGCGTAGCTCTCTCTCTCTCTCTCACACACACACACACAGACACACACACACACACACACAGACAGACACACACACACACTAATAATTTCCAATTCTAATAAATCCCAATCATATAATGGCTAGGTTAAGGGCCCATTAGGACTGAGACCCCGTGTGACTTGGGGCCCATACAGTCAAGTCACCATGTTGTTGTTTTGTTACTTTTTAATGAATATTTTGGTCTTTGTTTTAATAAAGTCTAACAATATCTCGACTTCCGGTTGTTTGAATGACCATTACTTTACATCCACACTCAATCTTTTTATTAACCACTAAATAAAAATAAAATAGAAGCATCACCTGAAGAATAGACACCCTAGATTAATTTACCTCGCGATTAAATATTCTAAAGCTAACAAAACATAACCTAATTCTAACCAAACCAAACCCTCCCCAGGTAACTAACTTTCAGGTGTTTAATTTATCAGGTGAGGTTCAGGTGTTTAATTTATCAGGTGAGGTTCAGGTGTTTAATTTATCAGGTGAGGTTCAGGTGTTTAATTTATCAGGTGAGGTTCTGGAAGCTAAGGGGAAGATGGGGTGGTGGTGAAGGCTAAACTTCGTGATCCAGACAAATCAATAAAAATAAATTAAATAAATACATCACAAAATACTAAAATTTGCATGGACTTAATTAGACGCCAGAACACAAACCACACCCTCTCATTCCAATACAACACTTAACCAGGTCGAATCGATAACCACGGGAACCAGAGTCGTACCAAAGACACACTCGTCAGCAACAGATCACTTAGCTATATGAATTTCAGTAACTGTAACGTATTGTAACTTTTTAATGGGGACGGGGGAAGGTGTACATAACATGACCTGTATTTAATTAAAGATTTAGATATATTATAAGGGGGATAAGGGGGAAGGGGTATTTGATAAGTTACCTACAGTATATCCGGGTTGGAGGAGTTATGTTGATGTGTAAGAGGAAGTGGGTAGTGGTGGTGATGGTGGTAGGTGGGGGTGTGGGAGGGTGGGGGGGGGAGGGGTAGTGAGGGATTATCATGGCGTCGGGAGGGAGGCAACGGGGATTAGTTGAAGGATTAAGATGTGTGTGTGTGTGTGTGTGTGTGTGTGTGTGTGTGTGTGTGGACAGTATCAGTACAGCGTCACCCTCTTTACCACAAGACAGACAGACAGACAGACAGACAGATGGCTGTGATAACAACATGTTACTTTATCTTGAGGAGTGAGTAATCTGTAACCACAATCACCACACCACACGTCACCATAACACATCACTACACAACACGTCACATCCTCGACACCACACATCACCAAAACACGTCACCATAACACACGTCACACAACACATCACTACAACACGTCACATCCTCGGACACCTGAAGTAGGAAACGCGTCACACTCACTTGCCTCTATATCAAATACCAACACCAACCGGATTTCCTTTAAAGATTAATAGGTAAAATTTGGACCATACTTAATTACCTACCCCCCCCCCCCTCAGCTTATTGCACATGCAGATTAATCACCCTAACGCTACCTGGGGGTTAGGTTAGGTTTGTTTACGTTAGAAAAGTTTATTAGTTTAGGTAAGGTTAGGTTAGGTTAGTTTAGGTTAGGTCACATTAGGTTAGGTTAGGTAAGGTTAGGTCACATTAGGTTAGGTTTCACAAAAAGTTAATTTTTACCAATGAATACTCCTAAAAGAGCGTCCCTAGTGAAGATATAGTCTCATTGTAATTCTGACGCCATACTGGACCTTAACTTAGACTTCAACTTAAATTACCCAGTTAAGTGTGTTCCTAAATCTCAAGTTACGAGCAAAATTCACCTTAAGACCTTCTAAGGCCCCGTAAACCCCACTAATATGGGTTATGATTTTTTAACGGGGTCGTATCATATGTGTGTGTGTGTGTGTGTGTGTATTTAGCCCCTGTATTTGATCATGTAAACATACACATACAGTGACACACACACACACACACAAAGGCCCCTTATCAAAATTCCCGGAAGTAAAACCCACACAATCCATCTTTCAGTCTGACTCAGTCTTGACAACAGTCCATCTGTCTAATCTATTCATCTATCTATTTATCAATATATCTAGTCATTTCTTTCTCTCTCTCTCTCTCTCTCTCTCTCTCTCTCTCTCTCTCTCTCTCTCTCTCTCTCTCTCTCTCTCTCTCTCTCTCTCTCTCTATATATATATATATATATATATATATATATATATATATATATAAATTTATGTATATATCTTAACTTCTATCCATCCTTTGTACGAGATGGATCAAAGATAGAAGAAAGATAGAATTAGAAACAAACACACACATACGCGCGCACACGCACACACACGCGCGCACACACACACGCGCGCACACACACACGCGCGCACACACACACACGTAGGGGAAGGAGAGGGGTTCAATGACCTCTGGTATGCGATTCATAAATTTTAAACAGAACGAAATTTCTCAAGATTCTAGGCCACGCATATGAGGGACGACTCAACCAACATTGCCTCTACTGATCAATGTAAACACACAATAAACAATAAACAAACAGAACATTTTGTTGATGGACCCCCAGGCGCTGTAACAGATGTGTGCTCACTTAGGTAACAAACACTCCCAAAAAATATCTTCATGGAGGGGGTCGATGAATTTCAATATGAACACTGCGACTCCCGTTGTCTCAGTGAGGTTAGCAAAATCTTTCGTCCGTTGTGTCATATTGTCTAACACAATATCGTAAGGATATTTTTTTGGAGCGTGACAGATAGCTCGTGGTAGTTCTAAAAGCTGGGGATTGACTCTATTTCCTTGGATTTGGATCACATTAGCCTTTGATTCACAAGGAGGCTCTGCACATGACCGCCTTCACTTCTCAAACTGATAGGTACCCGTCTACAGCTGGGTGACTGAGTGTCCCTTGTGTTGCCTTACCGTCATTTTGATGGGCTGTACGAGTTCGGTCTCGAGGTTGTCCCCTGAAGAAGGTCTCGGTGGGGTGCGGTGGCCCTGGTCAACAGCTGTGGTCAACTTCTTCGGGGTGTCATAGTCCAGGTCCACGGGGAGGGTAGGTCGGGGGGTGTCATAGTCCAGGTCCACGGGGAGGGTAGGTCGGGGGGTGTCATAGTCCAGGTCCACGGGGAGGGTAGGTCGGGGGGTGTCATAGTCCAGGTCCACGGAGAGGGTAGGTCGAGGGGTGTCATAGTCCAGGTCCACGGGGAGGGTAGGTCGAGGGGTGACGTGGTGGTCTTGGATGATGGTTGATCTCGGGGAGTCATAGTGGTCTTGGGTGAGGTTTATCATCGGTCTGGGAGTGTCGTAGTCCTGGTCGACGGGGAAGAATGGTCGGGGCGAGGCATAATAACCTCCACCATCTTGAGGTATCGAGGGCATGGCTGGCTACCTTGATAACACCAACACGTCCACTTGACACACCACACTTACAAAACAACACTCAGATCTCGACCACTATGAAGTATCACCACGTACGCAGGACTGGCTAACACCGGGTCAGCACCAGTATTGTTAACGACACCACCAGCAGGAGACCAGGGAACTCGACCTCCTCCTCCCACCGCGCCACGCAAGTAACTGACACTATCTTATCATGACATGAACCTCCTTCCCACACAAACATATGACGTCAATGTTTCTAGGCGTAATTTTTAGGCCAGGACGATAAGAGAACGATGTGATGGTGGCAGAGTTTGAGCCAACACTAAAAAGGGGGAGAGGTTAGTGCAGCCGGTGACATCCGCTTCAGGCTGTTCCACCACTCCCCTTAATAATGTGTAGCCCACCCACTACTACCACCACCATCATCATCACTACCATCATCACCCCATCATCATTCTCACTACCATCACCCTCACCACCACCATCACTAACACTATACAACTACCTTTACCACTATCCTCTTCCCTATTGCCACCATCACCGACCATCAACATTCTCACTACCATAACCATCTTTACCCCACCATCACCCCTACCACCCCCATCATCACCCTCACCGCAACCATCACTAACACTATACAACTACCTTTACCACTATCCTCTTCCATATTGCCACCATCATCACCATCAACATTCTCACTACCATAACCATCTTTACCCCACCACCACCACCATCACCCCAACCACCCCCATCATCACCCTCACCACCACTATCACCACCATCACCCTCGCTACTGCCACAACACCCCTATAATCTCCTGCACCCACCCGTATTATCACCCAAACCAACTGGTGTGACGCCCTTGTTCTGGCTGACGTGTCTTCCGTGACTGATCAATTGGGTCCCGGTCGTAATCTAACCACCAGAATGAGAGCCCAATCATAATAGGCCTCAGTATTAATGGCTCTATTAGACCTGGGACCTCATTTAACCTGTAGCTTATATCTCCATGGCAAGGTCATCTCTTCCCCCCCCTCTCAATTCCCTGCACAGTATGAGTCAAGAGTCTTCGTACGAGACACCAAGACATACACAGATTCAATGTTGATATTTAAACCTGACTCTCTGTTTCTTCTGGGACCACGGTGTCACTTCCTATACGTTCATTCAGGAGGGAGAGTCACGGTGGTCTGAACACATGATAGGGACTCGCTGCTGTTTGCTCTGTCAGGTTTATCCAGCCCATCTGTTTGAATGAGGAAGGGCGTGGCTACTGTATAACCATGAGTTAGGCCACCCATCACCAGCACCCATACCACCAGCTGGGCCACCCATCACCAGCACCCATACCACCAGCTGGGCCACCCTGCACCACCACCCATACCATCAGCTGCATGGATCACCTACCACCACCACACACACCACCAGCTGGGCCGCCCATATCCCTTACTATCAGTTGAGCCACCCACCACCCACAACACCAGCCGAGCCACCCATACCATCTGATCAACCCACATAACCAGCTGGACCACCCACATCACCATGAACCACCCACATCACCATGAATCACCCACCCACCACCCATAGTCACACCATGGGACACAACCCAGCCAGACAGAAAGATGGTGACCACATGTTCACCATCACTAAGTAAGGGGGAGGGGAGAGGAGGCAGGGGGTTGATAGGGGAGGGGGTTGAGAGGGGGAAGGGGGTTGAGAGGTTGAGGGAGGAGAGGGGGGGTTGAAGAGGAGAGGGGGGGTTGAAGACGCTGATGCCCCCCACATTAACTCGTGAGTGAGGTGGACTGTGTTTATCAAGACTCTGTAGTGATGATGATAACAGCAACACTTCTCTCGCTTTGTTTGGGTTGTCCACTCCCTCCCTTCTCTCCGTGACGTCACTCGTACCACAGCTACTTCATTTGTTTTTGTTGACATGTGACGTCACCCGAGTCGAACCAGTTCATTTGTTGTTGTTTACATGTTTACATACTAAGGAATTGATGGATCCGTCTAACCACAAACACAAATATTTACAGACACAAGTTGTATCCAAAAATGTATACACACTTTCACAAATCAAATATACATAATACATAATTAAGAAAGATATAATAATACCAGTGTGTATAGTATATAATTTTAAGACACTTTATATATAACTTTTAAATAAATAATTATTGTAAACATTAAGAGAAAATTAGTCATAACGGAGCCTTTCCTCGTAGTTCGCCTTATGTACACACACACACACACACACACACACACAACAGACAGACACACATCCAAGGCCTTTAATCCACATAAGAATAATGTATTTACTGTAGAGCTGAAATATATTGAATTATCTCAGTAAAATTTGTGGTCTAAGTCAATTACACCATAGTGACTGTGTGTGTGTGTGTGTGTGTGTGTGTGTGTGCGCATCTATAATACACCAAGAGACTCTACCTTAACTAGATACGTTCACTAACTTCACTTAACCAAGACATCATTACCATTAACCCACGACAAAAACCCCACATTAACCTTATCATGTGTTAAAGTGAACGTATCTGATTGGGTTTAACGTTAATTTAAGAATATAGTTTTAATTGTTTTATTTTTGTTTTGTGTTTTAGTTCAGAGGTGAAGCAGTTGTGTGTATTATTATGATATCGAGTACGAGGACTCTTTGATATTGAGTACGAACTGTTGGAAACATATATCATGGTTCTTATTACGGACTTAAATTTACCCTTGAGTACGAGGACTTAAACCCTTGAGTACGAGGACTTAAACCCTTGAGTACGAGGACTTAAACCCTTGAGTACGAGAACTTAAACCCTTGAGTACGAGGACTTAAACCCCGAGTACGAGAACATAACCTATTGAGTACAATGATTTAAACCCTTGAGCATGACGACTTAAACCACTGAGTACGAGCACTTCCTATTGAGTACCATATACGAGGAGTTAAAACCGATGAATACGACGAATCAACCTATTAAGCACGAGGACAAACCCTGAGTACAACTCAACCCCTTGAGTACGATGTCTTAAATCATAACTACAATGAGACCTTACACACGGGATTAATACATCATACCTACGGGTTAAAAAAATCAACAACAATAACAATAATAATAACAACCACCTACCCCCCCCCCCCATAGTGTTAAGGTAGCTGGGGTGGTTAATCTTTAGGTGAAATAAACTAGGGTGGCTATTCTTCATGTGATCGACCCTTTTTCTTTACGTTATAGCATAGTAATACATAATAGAATTCACCCGGGTGTTAACACAGAAAATATTACCCGACTTGCTATCATTATGTGGGTAACTCAAGTGATGCCAGCGCTAACTAGTAGAAAATAGTAGCGCTAGTTAGTAGGAAATAGTAGCGCTAGTTAGTAGGAAATAGTAGCGTTAGTTAGTAGGGAGTAGTAGCGCTAGTTAGTAAGAAATGTAAAATACTATAACTGTTGTACATAATTTCCTCACCTGTCCAGTTCTTGCCCAATCGACTCTCGTAAGGTCATCATCACCATTCTCATCATCATCATCATCATTTTCCTCCTCCTCATCATCACATCATCATCATCATCATATAAGAACCACACCTGATACTATAAATTGATATATTACTTAAAACAATCACCATAACTCACTATTCAGGGCATCATAAACTATCACAAAGATTTGATCATAGTTCATTAAAATTGGCCCTAGAAATACTGTATTATAATTTAGATGTTATATAAGGAGAGTATAGAGGTAAAAAAAATAAAAGCAGACATTGACAACACGGGGATGGAACACCTGGTGGCTACAATACAGTGAGTGTGTCAATGTGAAAATCTGACGTGTCAATTTAAATCAATCATGTACAGTTGTCGAGATCAAGAGAACGAGATCAAGAGAACGAGGACGGAGGAGCAATTGAGGTGGTGTTATTTTGATATCTCGAAAAGTGTCAGAATATCTTGTTGTGGTATTCTAATTTTTTTTTTAAAGAGAGTGTCAACTTTATAATCTTGTGTGTGTCAATTTTGAGTCAATTATCAGGACCCCGGGAGAGAGAGAGAGAGAGAGAGAGAGAGAGAGAGAGAGAGAGTCTTGACGTCGGATGTGACTGAGCGAGGTGATGTAGTGTTCAGTAGTCTAGGTGTTTTAATAAGTCAGGTGTTTCAGTAAATTAGGTGTTTCAGTGAGTCATGGTGTTACACAATGGTTCAGTTATCAGGGTCACAATGGCCAAGACAGAAGGGCACAAGGGTCGGTGGTTGGTCTCACTCACACACACACACACACACCTGGGGAAGGAGGAAGGATGAGGGTGATGGCCAAGACCTTGTTAGGATGAAGAGCTTTCAAATCCGGGTACTGAGGGCCTCTTCCATCCTCAAGACACCCAGGACCTAACCTAACCTACCCCTAACGTAACCCGACTTATTTAAACCTAACCTACCCTACCCCTTAACCTAACTTAACCTACCCCTTAGCCTAACTTAACCTACCCTAATTCTAACATTCCCTGACCTATAAATTTAACAAAACCAACATCTAGCGTATCTTAACCTAACCCTCTCATAACATGGCCTGACTTACAGTATCTAAACCTAACATAACCTAATCTATCTACAACTTAACCTAACCCAACCCCTCCCCAATCACAACCTAAGAGACGATCTTCCTATAAAAACTCAGCTGCAGATCCCACGATTGCGTTTCGCCTATCTACACAAGGGTGAGACCTCAGGGAGTACACACACACCTTTTACTTACCCTCGTGCTGTGCTGGACCTCATTATCATCAAGCGATCACACGAAGGTGGAACAGATACGGGACACGAAAAAAACAAGTCCAGGTCAGTTAGAGTCCGCATTGGGAGAGACTATGATAAAAAAAAAATCGATACCAAGAAGGATGGAGGGAAACTATGTGGCCAGTTCTTAATGTATACGAGGAAAAGATTTATGACAAGATGTGTTACCTGGCTTCAAGGACCCTCCAT